GCATTTAGGTTTGAATACTAGTTTTGCCAGTTACTAGCTATATGACCTATGTCTTCAGCTGTAAAAGGTAATGTTGCCTATCTTAGAAAAAGCTACCACAGGGTTGCGGCTAAATACCCCAATTCTTCTTTTTCTTTCTTTTTTTGTTTTGTTTTTTTCTGGGTTTTTTTTTGTTTTTTTTTTTGAGACAGGGTCTCACTGTATAGCCCAGGCTGGCCTCAAACTCACAGCGATCCTCCTGCCACAGCATCCCAGCTAAATTCTCCAATTCTTTTTTTTTTCCAGTACCAGGGATCAAACTCAGGACCTTGCACTTGTAAAGCAGGCGTGGTGCCACTGAGCTAAATCCCTGGCCTTCCCCAATTCTTTGTCTTGGTTCTGCTACTTAACAGCTGGGAGCTAGGTCAAGTTTCTTAACTTTTCTACACTTCATTTTTCTCATCAGTATGATGGGCTTAATAATTGTGCCCAACTTATGTGAGGATTAAATAATTAGTGCACATAAGTAGTACAAAACGTTAGCTGTTATTACTGGGCTGTTTTAAAATAGTGAACAAATGTATAGAGGGTGTCCCATAGTAACTATATACAAAATGATACCTTAGTTTGTTATTGTTAAACTGATATTGACTGTGGAGTATGAAAAGATTAATACAAAGTGACATCTCCATTTAGATGTGTCTTTCATTAAATAGGAACCAATGGAATGGCTCACTCTACAGCTTCCCAGGGGAAACTTAGGGAACTATAATGCATACATTACTTTGTTTGCAGTATAGCACCTTCCAGAAGAAACATTAAGTTAGGAATGACACTTATTTCTGTATATTAACTTTGGCACAAGAAGTGAGGCAAGTGCAAGAGACCCTCCTGGTAATAACATTGTTTTCCCTTCAGCTGTTTCTCAATGTGATGGTATTCTGAATTATGGAGGCAACTCCTTTCCACTTGGTTTCAGAAACACTTGGAAGCAGTTATATATGTTGCCAAAATTAAATTAAAATAATAAAATTAAATTTTACTGCTTTTTTTTTTGTACCAGGGATTGAACTCAGGTCCTTGCGCTTGTGAGGGAAGTGACAGAACCACTGAGCTAAATCCCTGGCCCTCTTACTGCTTATTTTTAAAATGAGGCATCTGAGCCAGGGGGTTCACAACTTGCCCTCCTTAAGAGCTCAGCGTGGCACTATGTCATCTAAACCACTCTGGGCTCTAAGACTAGGTAACATGTTTTTGCTCCTCAGCACTGCCTTCTTTATATTATCATGAATATAGATTTGGCAGCACACTGGTCTGACCCATGTAGACATTCTTTAGTTTTTGGTTTTTTTGAGACAGGGTCTCGCTATATATTCCATACTGACCAACTATGTAGCCAGGCTACCCTTGAACTTGAGGCAATCCTCCTGCCTCAGTCTCATGAGTGCTAGGACTGGTGTGCACCACCACACCTGGCTCTTATTTTTACATATATATGTCTTGTTAGAACTAGATTATAAAATGTCTTCCATATTCCATGGCAACAGGGCTACCTCTATTATCATGTGTGTGATATACTCTTTGTATAAGGTGGGGAAATATCCTAGAATGAGAAGAAGTATTACCTATGAATTTGGCATCAGACAGCCCAGAGCTGAGATTCTACCTAGTAGCTGTAAGAGCGTGGGCATATTATGTAACCATCCTAAGCTTTAGTTTCCCCCTCTGTAAAAGAAGAAAATAAAACCAACAAATAGAATCACTGGGTGGATTCTGACATATACTAAGATAAAGGCTATTTATCTCTTCACCCACCCATTCAACTTTCAGTATTAAAAAGTTCAATTAGGTTTAATACAAATCACAAAAAGAGATATGGAATCCTATATCTGGTGTGTTAGGGGCTGATATATTGTTTGGTAAATAAATATGAAACTACAGGCCTATGCTTTCCTCTAAAATCACCTTTTCTTCTCACCCGTGTTTAGTTTTACACATTGATGTGGCAGCACACAGGTTTTTCTCCCTTGCTCAAGAAAGCATTCCTTCACTTAGTAACACTTCTACCAAAATGTTAAGTCTCCCATGGTCCTAGGACAAAGATTAATAAGATACAGATCATAGCCTCAAGGAGCTTAGTTGTTTTTTTTAAATCTCATTTAAAATACATTTTGTGAAGAGATTAATTCCAGGAATGTAAGACCTCATTTTTTAAAAAAATTTATTTTATTGGTACATTTTAGGTATACATTATAATGACATTTATTATTGGAAATTTGCATCTTTACATAATCTCTCTTGGTTATTTTTTCCTCCTTCCTCTGCCCTCCCTATTTACAAAGACTTTGTTTCCGTTTTTTCATTTTCTCATATTAATTCCATTCCCTTCTTTCCTTTCCCCTACCCCTCCCACTTCCCCTTCGCCCCTTTTCTTCCTATTTCACATTATCTATTATACTTTGTAGTCCTTATTTACACTTTCAGTTTCTCACACTAGAGAAGCTATTCGGTATTTACACACGTGTCCTATTGTAAGGCCTCAATTTAATAAAATCTACTCTATTAAGTGATCAAAAATTTTAGTTTTATGGGGAAAAAAAAGACAAAAACTATTCCAATAATGAAAAGATATAATATGATTAAAAGGCCCTATGGAAACCGAGTTGGGGGCAGGGACTTAATTCAATATAATGTGGGGGTGGTTGTGAGCCAAAAAACCCCAAACAAACAAAATGAGTTTTTGGAGTAAACAATTCTTTAACCAGCCTGGAACATTCACAGGAAAAATAGCATTCTAGGTAGTCCTATGTGCACTGTGGGAAGTAGCTCAGTATGTGTGGGTTATTTGCTATGGCTAGAACTTAGACATGTGGGGGAAACAGTAGAAAATGAGACTAGATGTACAGGGAAAAGCCAATGTGTAAGAGCTCTTGCTACAGAGTCTGAGTTATACCCTGTAAGTCAGTAACTACCAAAGGGGTTTGGCAGGAGAATGCAAGATGATCCACTTAGGCCTAAACATTAAAATTTGTTTTTATTACTAGTTTCTTTTCAGGCATGAATTATTATTAGGTATGCATTTGTGCAGTAGTACATATATACATGATTCGTGTCTAAATACAGTACATATACATGGGGTGGGAACACATGCTCTCCTCCCTTTCCCTTATAGGGATACATGACTAAAGAAGTGTGAAAAGTCTGGAGACCACTGCCACGGGTAGGTTTATAGCAGAGAAGTTAAGTGAGTCGATCCGTGTTTGAAACAATACTTTCTAAGGTAGAGAACAAGACTAGAAGCAGTCAAGGGAGACTGAGATGACTGGCAATTGTAAGAGTAATGTGGACACAGGCCTGAACCAAGGCTCTGGCAGTGGAGATAAGGAGCACCCAGTCAAGTTCCTTTTAAAAACTACTACTCTGGGGCCAGGGATTTAGCTCAGTGGTTTCGTTGCCTGCTGCGCAAGCACAAAGACCCGAGTTCGATCCCCGGTACCAAAACAAAAAGCAAACAAAAAAACTACTGATCTGGACAGGGTGGTGTATACCTGTAATGCAGCACTCTGGGAGGCTGAGGCAGGAGGATCATGAGTTTGAGGCTAGTCTGGGCAAGTTAGTAACTTAGCGAGATTCTATACAAAATATAAAATAAAAAACTGAGCCAAGATCCTAGGTTCAATCACCAGAACCATACACACAAACACACAAACACACACACGCGGAAATATTAACTGTATTTGGATAAGGAATAGAGAGTGGGGACTATAGCTCCATTAACTAAAAGAATATTAACAGAAGTAGGTGGGGTGGGGGACTAGTATATCAGTATTGGATATTTTAGATCTTACATATATATGGAATACTCTATTTCAGACGTCCCATAGCCAGGACTTAGAAATATAGGTCAGAAATTCTTAATGAAGACCAATCAGATGGCAGAGCATTAACTTTCTCACTACATACCCATAAGCTCTCCTAAAGAATATTGAGGCTGATTATTTTTCTGGACAAAATGAAAAACAAAAATTAGAACCATGTAGATTTCCAAATCTGTCATTATTGGTCATAATAGAAAACTTTTCTTCCTCACCCCAGTCACCTTTCTTTTCAATCCTCATTTTGAAGTTCATTGGCACAGCATAGATTTCTAATACTTGGTGTAAACAGTATGAGGTATGTTGATTTCTAACCAGTGTTAAGGCAAAGAAATGGGAGAGAGCTGAAGTACTCTTTGTTCACAGCACAAACACATTTGGATTGTGTTGTTTCCAAAATGATTTAGTAATAAAACTCACAGAGCATATGGTATTAGCTCTGTGCTAAGGGCTTTTTTGGGGGGTACTGGGGATTGAACTCAGGACCTTGCACTTGCCAGACACTGGCACCACTGAGCTAAATCCCCAGCCCTGGGATAAGTGCTTTAGTTGAATTTACCTCACTCTTCTCAATACCCCATGAAAAAGTACTATTATTGTTACAATTTTTAAGAATAAAAACCTGACTTAAAGTAGTTAATTGGTTCAAATTCAAATACCTAGTAAATGTTGGCACCAGAATTTGAACTCATGCAGTTCAGTGCAGAGCTGTATGTTGCTTTCCATCACTGCTTCTCAACCAGTACTCTTCCATCCTCTCAAACACCTCAGGCCCTTTAGGTTTGTTCTTTTTGTCTATACTCACAGCTCCACAGCTCTTCAGAATCACCTTCTACTGTCTTCTACTGACTGATGTTTTTGGGTCCTTCTTGTTTTCTTTGCAACTTTTACTCCTAACAATCCATTAATTCTGACAACACTCTCACTCATTCCTCATTTCCCTTCTCTTCCCTCCTTACTCAGCTTAGACTCTGTGATTCTCCATTGTAATCACTGCTGCAAACATTTTAAATTCTTATTCTTCTATGCAGGGATTTCCAAGTGTCGCACATTTTCTCTTTTCAAAACTCTCACTCTCCCCTCACCTCCCTCTTAGCTGAGGACCTTGCCTCAAATTTCACTGAAAAAGGAACAATCAAGGAGGAAGTCCTTCATAGACTCTTTATTTGCAAACCAATTTGGACATGTGCCCATTATCTTTGTCTTCTCTCAATATACAGTAAGGCAGAAATGTTCCTGCTTCTACCTAAGGGACTTTTCCTCTTGAAGTTGCATAATTTCTTGCCACTAAGATTTTGCTCCTACAATGATCTATAGGTTTCTTCATCATTATCAGTATTTCCCCCTTTATTGAATCACTACCATTAGAATACATTTTTTGTACTTCTCATTTAAATGGACAAAAAGGATAGAAAAAATTCTCACATCATACTTTCAGTTATATTTCTTTGCTGTTCTCTATAAAATTTCACAACTATTTGTCTTTTGCCATCACCAATGAGCTAATCTGGCTCTATTCCACTGATCTGCATTCTACATGGTCAGTATTGGTCTTCTACGATGTCAATCCATAGAAGCACTTCTTGCCTTCTGACTTTTTGCTCTGTTACACTGAAGACAGTGACCTACTTTTCTTGAAGCAACTCTTTCCTTGGGTTTAGTGATATCACGTTTTCCCTTTCCTCAATCTCCTGTTTAGAGACTTAACCTCCATATATTTTGAAGTTTCTCTGGGCTTAGTCCTGGAGTTTCTCTTGACATTTTCTTCAGTGATTTTATCCTTTTTATGGTGGTAAATACGATGGTCCCCAACTTAGTATATGTGCTGCTGAAGCGAGCCCTGATGGTCCCCAACTTATTATGGTTCAGTATGTGACTCTTTTCCTTTATATGGTGTGAAAATGATAGTCAGTAGAATCTGTACTTCAAATTTTCATCTTTTTTCCAGCTTAGCAAAATGTGATATGATAATCTTTTGATGCCTGGCCCATTGCCTGTAAAGTAATAGGTGTCCAACCTCTTGGCTTGCTTGGGATGCAGAGTGAAGAATTATCTTGAACCATATATAATAAAATATACAATATACTTTAATACATACAAGTAACAAACTTTTTTTTGAGGCAGAGTTTCTCTATGTAGTCTGGGCTGGTCTCAATCCTGATTCAGACTTCTGAGGGCTGGGATTACAGACATGTACTATCATGCCTCAGTATCCTTTTAATATTAAGACAAAACAACGCAACAAACCCAAGGGCTCAGATTGGACACTCCTTAGTGTACTGTCTGGCTGAGCTAGGATGTTCATTAGGTTAGGGACTATTAAATATACTTTTGATTTATGATGTTCCATTTACAACAGGTTTATGATGATGCAACTCCAACATAAGCAGAGGGGCCCTTGTACTATACTATTTATGTTGATAAATATAACACAACTGTTGATGCTCAAATTTTTATCTCTTGGACACAGGTCACCCTTGTGTTCCAACTGTCCATTTGTTCTTCATTGGATAACTAGGACTTTTTGGGGTGTCTCTTTTTATTTTTTCTTTTCTGTGATGGAGATGAATCCAGGGCCTTTTTTGGTCTAGGCAAGTACTCTACCACTGGGCTCCAATCTTCAGCCCTGTCCTCCTTTCGATTCCCATCTTCATAGGATTTTTTTAAAACACCTGATAGAAAATGGAAAGCAAAGATTGACTTGATTTAGGATAAGAATTTATGGAGAGTAAATCCATTTAAGGTAGGCAAAATGAGAACAGGAAACTTTAAAAAGGCCAACGCCTATACTGTATATTTTTTGAACCGTTTTCTGCTAATTATCTATCAATAGAAGAACAACATTAATCTTTCTTTTGCTACCCTTTAAATGACTGACTTAATGGTATTGTTTTGAAAAAAAATTTTAAATACAGGAAGTGACAACACTAAGTTTGGGAGGGTAATTTGGAGGCTAAGAATAAATAAGACATAAAGCAAAAAAGAGACAGGGATAAAGGCTGCATAAAAGGGTACTTCTAAGAACCGAATGGGAAAAGCCTTGATTCCTCCCCACTCTGGGTTATTCTTATGTCGAACACTTGAAGGTGCTTTTGGAATCTTCACCCACGGGACTTTTGTAGTCTTTTAGGGCACTCCTAAATCTACACCCATTCCTAACCAATTTCACCCTCCTCACCAGCTATATTCTTTAGCTTCGCCAGTTTCCCAAATCTTCAACCCTTCCTCGAATTAGTCCAATCAAACTTTCCCTTCTGGACTTCTTCCTTACCTTTCAAACCAGGAAACGCCTATGAGAATCACGTGACCAAACTTGTCCTTAATGGCGCTCCATAATTTTGCTACCATACCGCCCTTCCTCACCGCTCTTCCTCACCCATTTGCTCGCCTCCGCCTTAGTCTCACTCCCCCCTACCCGCGAAAGAGTTGCGCCTGCGCGCCTCCAATTCAGGCGCTTTCCCTTTCCTGGTGACCAATCCACTGTCTACTCCGGTCCTTGGGACGCTCCTCCCCTTTGCTGGGGCCCTGGCTAGAGGGACTGGCAGTGGCTGCCCTACTGCCTGTCTGAAAGATTCGCTCGGCTCATCTAGTGGAGAATTTTAAAGAGCCACTAAATGAGTAGAACGTATATGAAATTGTTCCCTATATTTTCCACTCCGGAGTCAAACTGAGGAAATCGGCATGTCGGGGTGAACGGGCGATCCGGTCTGTTTTCGATCTGGCAATCCGCGGACAGCTTCTTCCCTTCCACCTCCCTCCGCCCCGCCCCCACTTGCTTCCCGGCCGCGCTGGTGAGTGGCGGGCGGGAGGGCCGGCGGGGGGAGGGAGGAGGGGGAGAGGAGGAAAGGCGGGCCCTCGGCTGGGAGATAGGTGGGGGGAGGGGAGGGAGAGCCGGAGCGCTGGAGTTGGTGCTGGGAAACCCGGGGCTCATGTTGACAACAAGCTCGAGGTGAGTTCCGGGGAGCCTCTTCCCCCTCCGCTGCAACCATCGGGAGGAAGCGGGGCTGTGGGGCACCGGCCTGGAACCTTACTCTCCGAGGGACCCAAAAGGCTACTCCGCACCCCAGCTCTCCCTGGGCGGCGAGCAGCGGAGAACCGTGGTCCGGCGTCGTTCTCCTCAGACCTCTCTCTGGGAAGCGCTCACCAACGCGGGAGCCCCCGGCCTGGCCGGGGCCGACATGAGGGGTGGTAGAGGAGGTGCCTGTCCCGTGTGCTGGGCCGAGCCTGGGGGCTGGGGGAAGGTGTTTGGGGGCGTGGAATAGAGCTAGGGGAGGTTGGGGAAGCGAGGGCGAGGAAGTGGGGAGGGCGCGTGTGTGGGAGGCCGTGGAGTGGGGAGATCAGCCGGAGAGTCCGCGATGGAGAGGGCGTGTAGGGCGAGAAGCTCGGGTTGGCACGAAGGTGGCCCGCGAAGGTGACTGGATGCCCCTAGGAAGGAAGGAAGGGGAGTTGTGGCGGGGAAACATGTTAGGTGTAGGAGTGTGAGCCCGAGCAGGAATTTGGGGGAGGTGTGTTTAGGGGAAGGGCGTTTGGGTATAATTGGGGGTGATGGACAGAGGTTGTTTGGTCTTCTTCTTCATCACTTAGGCTGGTCGATTCCTCATTTCGCATTCATCAGAAGCTTCAAGACTGTTGCTAGTGCTGTTCAACTAAGGCAGTCCCAGGATATTTGGTCAAATATCCAGGTTAGGAAAGCAGAGCTCGCTTGGAGGTTTAGGGATACACACTCGAGTGACTGGACCATCAACTCTTACTCTTTAAGAACTTACTAATAGTGATGCATCGAACAAAAATAAAACATTATCGATTCTTCTCGTTTATCATAGTTTTTAAGGTGTTCGTAAAAATCGTACGAATCATCCAAAAAGCCATTTTTGAACTATGGTGAAATTTCAAAAGATTTAATTAAGTTCTTCGTATGTAAGAACTTTTTAAAGTATAAAGGTAAAAACGGAGATGCTACTGTGCTGTTCTGCTCCTAGAACATTTTAAATAACACAGAATGAAAAGGCAAAAGCATTTTTAAACTCAGGAGTATTTTCAGAGCAGTCCAATTGTGATTTCATCCATGGTCCATATGGTACTTTTCAAAGTAATATCTCTAAAAGGGAAACACTCCATTTCTCTGTCCTCTCACTCAATTGGTATTTGTTTTACTAGTAAGTAGTTTTTACCTTCTTTTGGAAGTTCAGAATATACTTAGAAAATAAAATAAAATACATAGCTCAAGTGCCAGGGCACTATTTTGGGAGCTAGGAGGGTGGTTTTTAAGTATGGTTTCCTTTTAACAGCTGTCTGAATATTATTCAGTAAAATAATTTTACAAAACTAATTATTTCAATTAAAAGATCACTACTTTTTGTCTTATTTTGAGATAGAATAATGTTCTATAAACTGGCTTTTACACGAAAACCTTTTGGAAACTCTTCGGATGAAATATTTGGCTGTTGAATAAAGCTTGCTTTTACTAAAATAAGAATTTTAGCATTTTATTAAATATAATTTTGCTCAGTTTAATTCATGTATTACAAATGTTTAGTAATCTGAATCTTTGTCATATATTTTAGGTTTTTTTTGAATCCTAAAGTAAGGAAATGTAGTGGAAAAGAGCTCTGGGCAGTCTCTAAACTTGTGTAATTTGGGGCAGATTCTACTGCTACTGCTGCCTCAGTGTAACAGTTGAGAGTCAAAATAGAAAAAACCCAATAGTCCTTCTGATTTTAAAAGTCTCTCACCTTATGGACTTTTCAATGTTCTGTGTAAAAGAGAATCAGCATTTACTCCATACCCTTCTCCATGGTGTCTTAACTCTTTAAAATAGGTAGCAATATCTACATTTTATCGATGAATAACTAGAATAAATAGAAAACTTAAGTTACTCAGTTCCCATAGCTAGCAGATTGCAGAGTTGGGATGCTAACTGAAAGTCTGACTTCAAAGCCATGCATGTTACTTCACAAGTTGCATTGCTCCTGCTACAGGAACCTTTAAACTTCTGTCACTGCTGAAATGTAGTTGCAGATGTTCTTTGGTTGGGTGCTTCTAATACAAGGATTAGATGAATCAAAGAAGATGCCAGTACCAAAACTTAGGGGTCTTGTTGAGAATTTGTTTTATTATACTCTGGAGCAGGATTTGTCTTAATTTGCATATGACTTCTACAGTTTATTCATGTAGTAGATAAGATTTATTGAATAAATGAATATTGTAGAGTCATGAAAATTTGAGACTCCATTCTGCTAATTATGCTTTTTTATGAAGGTATGTACTAAGTAAATCGCTTAATATTTTAGAAGAATTTTAATACTATCTTTATAAGATGACTTTTTTTTTTTTTTGTACCGGAGATCGAACTCAGGTCCTTGTGCTTGTGCTGCAGGCGACGAAACCGCTGAGCTAAATTCCCGGCCCAATACTGTCTTTGTAAATGAAGCATTGATTATACTTTTTTTTTTTTGGTACTGGTGATTGAACTCCGGACCTTTTGCTTGCGAGGCAGGCAGTGGAACCACTGAGCTAAATCCCTGGCCTGATTATAAATTATTTTTATTGTCTAAAGCTGTAGCTTCTTATAACCCTGAAATATTAACTTTGCTACTTGTTGATGCTTCACATCAGAAATTACAAATTCTGTATAAATATTATTTTTTTACACATGACTAATTTTTTTTTTTAAGTTTTTTTTGGAGGTGTACTGGGGATTGAAAGCAGGACCTTCCACTTGCGAGGCAGGTGGCAGCATCACTGAGCTAAATTCCCAGCCCAATGACTAATATTTCTAAGTATGGTTATTACTACCTTAGACATTATATTGTCTCCATACTTGCTGGCCAGACTCTGCCAAAAAGTTTAAAATGTTATGTAAATACTGCTTAACCGTTATCAGGGATTCTTCCTAGTTTTTATTTTTTCTGGTACCAGGAATCAATCTTCCTACTTTTTAAATTCACAGTTCTATCATAGTCAATGTCTACTATCAAGTTTTCTTTCTCATAATTTGGTACTCTCAAAATTCTTAACTTTTATCAAGACAGTGGTTCACATGCTACCTCTTAACAGCTGTGGAGGCTTGGTCAAGTTACATGGTCAAGTTTCAGTTTACTCATTTATGAAATAGGGGAAACAATATCCACTTCATAAAAATTTTAGTATTAAATGAGATAATATACATAAGATGTGTAGTATGGTGAGTAGCTATTAATACTGTAGTTTAAAAATTTTGCTTATTTGTGGGATATATTTTTCACATTAAAAGTAGGTATTTAGTTAGAGATGTATAAGAATAGTCATACTTCCATATAATGTAATGCTAATTGCACCTAAGTAGTTTTATTTTTTCATATTTTAACAGTGACTATTTAAATAGGAGTAACGGCCATTATCTGTTTGGAGTTCCACCAGTTGGGATAACTAATGCCTTTGGGTGTCAGATTACATAATTGCATAGAACATGACAATGAGAGAGAATAAGTGAAGGAGGAGGAAAAAGGGAAGACTGAGAAAAAGTACAAACTGCAAAAATTCTGTTAGTCTAAATTGCCTCAGTGATGCTTTTTTTGCTAAAGTAAATTCTTGTGTATTTATAAAATATTTATTATAAATGTTTTGGTTAGCCTAGTTTTTATTGCTGTAATTTAAACCTATATTTGAAAATATTTAAGAATATTATGTATATCTCTATCTTGTAATAAACTAAGGAGTTCAAGGAATTTTATGCTTTTTAAATAGAAATTTGATTTTCTTGTATATAACTTTCAGGTAACTTAGTTAAAATATGAAGACTGTAAAGAAATTAGCAAATGAGGTCTGAGTAGAGAAATACATCTTTAGCAAAGAAAACTCCTGAATTTTGTTGGGAAATACAAATTTTGTTTCACCATTTGTTATTTCCGATTAACTATGTAGAATCTTTACTATACACTAGTGCTGTCCAATAGAACTTTCTGTGGTGGTAAAAATGTTCTATATCTGCACTGCCCTGTATAGTAGCTACTAGTCACATGTAAAATTGGTAACTTAGAATATGGATGGTGTCTGAAGAACTGAATTTCAAATTTTATTTAACTTAAATTAATTTACATGTAAGTAACCACATGTGGCCCAGCAGTGATTTTCAACTGGTGGTGATTGTGTCCTCAGGGTCATTTGGCAGTATCTGTAGTTCATATTTGGCTGTCAAGTCTAGGGACGTACTTCTTGCATCAATTGCATGAAAAGCAGTGTTGTGTTAAACTTCATAAAGTACATAAGTTAGCTTTCTAACTCCCAAAAGTAAGAATTATTTTGTGGGCTGAGGATGTGGCTCAGTTGTAAAGTGCTTCTTGCATAGTGTGCTTGAGGCCCTAGGTTTGGTCAAGAAAAAATATCTTGTTCAGAAGTGTCTGGCGTGCTGAGATTTAGACACTCTAGGTTGCTGGCTACTCTACTGACAGATACAGATCAGACTCTACAGAATTTATAATCATTATGTTTG